AATAAAAATACCAATTTTAACTGAATTTTATTATATTAATATATATTTTTTTAAATTTAATAAAACTAAAATATATATTTATTAAAGATTCAGATAAATGATCAAGGCAGGGAATTCTGTAACAATGTTTGTACAGAATTCCATAAATATTGTGGGATTGTCCAAAGAGTAACCTCAGCCTACCACTCACAAGCAAATGGTCTGGTTCTTGCTAGAGAGTTTGTTGATCCAAAGTCTCCCAGAGGTATTGTATTTAGGATATATTTGAATTATTTTTTGAATGATAACCTTATAATTATTTTTGAATAATAGCCTTATAATTATTTTTAATGTTTTTATTATAATTAATGCATTGCCTTTAGATAGTAGTTCCCAAAATGGCCTTTATGATGAAATTATCCCACTTGCTACGGAGTTTGTTGATCCAAACTCTCCCAGAGGTATTGTAGATATTTATTTGAATTATCTTTTGAATGATAATCTTATAATTATTTTTTGAATAATAGCCTTATAATTATTTTTAGTGTTTTTATTATAATTAATGCATTGCCTTTAGATAGTAGTTCCCAAAATGGCCTTTATGATGAAATTATTCCACTTGCTACGGAGTTTGTTGATCCAAACTCTTCCAGAGGTATTGTATTTAGGATATATATTTGAATTATCTTTTGAATGATAATCTTATAATTATTTTTTGAATAATAGCCTTATAATTATTTTTAATGTTTTTATTATAATTAATGCATTGCCTTTAGATAGTAGTTCCCAAAATGGCCTTTATGATGAAATTATTCCACTTGCTACGGAGTTTGTTGATCCAAAGTCTCCCAGAGGTATTGTATATAGGATATATTTGAATTATTTTTTTGAAAATAAAGCAGCACGTGTGTTACTTATATACAGTGGTTCCCAAAATGTTGAGTTTGAAGATAAAAATATTCAGCTTGACAGGGATTTTATCCATCCAAAGACTCCCATAGGTAATGTTATTTCTGATATATATTTGATTTATTTTTTAATTTATTACGTATACAGAATTGGATGATGATATTTTGATAATAAATAAATTAGAAAATATCCCTAGATTTTTTTTCCTACAACAAAGGTTTGGAAAAAATTTCATGCTAAAATATATGGTCTAAAGCCTCCCAAACGTTGTCGGGATGTAGACTATGAGAAACAACTTGGTGAACCCACCATCCTGGTGCAAATTGAAGGTGATGGGAATTGTTTTTATAGGTAAAACATATTAATATAAAATTTCATTTTATTCTACTTTATATAATTTAGGGCGATTAGTGTAGAGCTTACTGGAGCTCAAAATTCCCATGATATTCTCAGGCAATGGTTGGCACAATTTATGCTAACATCCGAGATGGGAAAGGTAATTGAAAATTATCTTCACGACACGAACAAAAAAATAGACACAAACTTATGTCTTTAATAATGTAATGACACAGCAGATATGGGCTTCTGACACAGAAGTCAGGGCGATGGCCACAATGTTAAATACGGCTATTTTTACTTATATAAAATATAATGATAATTTTGTATGGGCCCGATATGACCCATTTTATATTCGCGACAATATAAAAATATTTAATAATAATTTTATTTATATAAAAAATGGGGGGAGTCATTTTGAAAATGTTTTAGATTGCGATTTATCTTCCATCTAATCACTATTTATTATTTTATAAAAATATATAAATATATTTCATTCATATTATAACTTATCGCCTTATATATATTTTTTATGAAAGTTGTAGTTTATAAATAATATTCAATTACAATCTGATATGCAAAATATGATAATAATTATATTTTTCCATTATGTTTTTATTAAATTTAAAATTATGTATAAATATTTATATCAATAAAGTTCTTCGTCTATTTTCTTATACCAAATAAAGTTTTATCTAATATTGGTGACCCAATTCAGTACAAAATAATATAGAGATGGATTATTTTTAAAACATTATATTAGGTAAACAAAATAAGCATAACGACTAAGCCATTTAGGCTAAGAATTTATCTTACTGTTTCTTTGCGTGATTTTTAGAGGGTTGGGTAGAAAAGGCGGTTTGCCTCTAGTAAATTTTCTGTCATATATGAGCTTTGTCTAAATTAATGTCTATCGAGAAGATGTACTTTGTATAAGAAATATCATGGGATCGGAGTATTTGGTTATTTTATAAATTTCATGTTGTGTAAATTAGCATGTTAGTAAGGATCTCTTCCCTACCTAATATTGCTAAACTTTAAATATGATATAGATTGGAGTCTCGTATCAATAATCTGAACTAGTTCGCCCGTACTTTAAAAAAATTAGTTTCAACTTTGGGCGAGAGGGTTAAAAAATTTGGGAGAATTTGATATTTTTCAGGCGAAATGAGCAGAACAGTAAATAGTTTTTCATAATATTCCATATTATATGTTTAATTAAAAATACATTAAAATAAATAAAGAGCCAAACCAGCCATAAAATAATTTTAAAACAAAATATATATAAAAAAAATTATAAGTGAAAGCGAGGGCAGGTTAAATAAATCTTTTCGCTAAAAATCCGCCCATTACAGACCTCTAATCTGCATATCTTATCACACACTATTTGGTATGATATGCAGACTAAAAATATAAATTTAAAACTATAGAGAGGCGGCGACTATTTAGATAAGATAGATAAAAAAAACAATTTAAATAAAAAATGTACGCTACATGGATTTGAACCCGCATTAAGAGGATAGGTATGTAAGTATTACTAACTAGACTACCCACCACACCTTGTAATTCTTAATTTTATTTGTTATATATAATCTACTTTTTAATTAAATTTATATGTATCAAAAAGAGAAATTTTATTATATTGTTAACTTTAATGATGTTAAAATAAAGATGAGCTCTTGAAATGACAATATATATTTTACAAAGCATTACTAAAATATTATTTTAAAACATAGATTATAATTAAATAGTTAGGTGTGATACCATTATTGTCTCTATATTGTATTTTATATCCTTAACTTTAATGATGTTCCTTGATTTTACAGCTCTCATTATTCGACTTAATGACCTTAAAAAAATAAAGATGAGTTCTTAAAATGAAACGATATATATCTTGCAAAGCATTATTAAAATAATATTTTAAAACATAGATTATAATTTAACAGTTAGGTTTTATACCATTATATCGCTTCAAAAACATTGGGGGCCATTATCATCAAAATCTTACAACCCATCCGTGTGAAAGTGATTGCGTGAGATTTCGAAATCTCACAGATCACTTTCACACGTTACACCGGGCTTTAAATATTTAAATCCGGGCCGGGCCGTAAAAAATATTTTTAAAAATATCCGGGCCGGGCCTTAAATTTTTAAATCCGGGCAGGGCCGGGTCGTAAAAAATTTTTTTTAAATATATCCGGGCCGGGCCTAAAAAAATTTAAACCGGGCTGAGCCGGACCGTGCAAATGGTGCCTCTGCAGGTCTGTGATTTATATAAATAAATATGCCAGAGGCATATCCAGAATTTATTATGGAAGGAGAAGGGGACACTATTAGGTGGGTTTTCCCGCCATTAATTTTATTGGAGGTCTTTAGGCCCAATATTATAAGCGTTGGCTATATTACATATCTTTAAAAATAATTATTTACATTTTTTTTATAAAAATGCTTTTTTAAAAAATTTAAATTTGGCATCTGCTTTTTTTAAAAAAAAATCATAAGTTTACGAAGTAGAATATATATAGTATATAATAATATTCGTAAGACTTTTTATCAATCAATACACTATCTTGTTTTTTTTGGTAACATTTGTAATGGTTTTTTGAATCTGCGGATACAGGTTAGTAAGAAAGATCGGGATAAAGAGATTGACTGAGTAACAATGTTAACACGAATAACTTTTTAACCCTAGAGCATAAAGAGATTAGATTTTTTTTATTAAACTGTATTTTAATATATAATTTCTAACCTAGGTCTTCTTTTAGAAAATCTTTTTTGGTTTGACATATTTTGCCAAAAAATCGTAAAATATATATCCGTTTAAAAATTTTTACTTTAAATAGTTAGCTATAAAATAAAATTTATAAGATTTTTGTATAATGTATATATATATATATCACCCTGAGAAAAAGCTTTTATGGGTAAAGCGGTTAAAATGCCCTCTTTGATAAAAGCTGTAAAAAGATAATTTCAAATATTAACGTTTAAGCCATTCAAAAATAATATTAATAAATAGTTTCTGTTATATAGAATAAAAATTCTAAATAGTCACATTTCTGAATGATTAAATATATGTTCCGGTTATTCAGTCGATGTTATTTTATTATCTTTCTTTTGACTTGTTCATGCTCAGCTAGTATTGCTTATTTGTATTTTAGGAAAACTAATTCAAAAAATTCGTGTTCTTTATGCCTCATTTTATTTAACAATCTTTTTTTTGGAGTTACCGGATAATTTTATTTTATTTATAAAAAGTTAACTATACATAAAAAATTTAATATAATCAAAATATATTAATGGAAAATTGAATTACTAAGTGAAACAATATATTTATATTTACCCAAAGTAAAATATTTTAAAAATATTAGGCCCAACCCAGCCGAATCGTAATTATTTTTCAAAAATAGACCCTGCCATAAGCCCGTTCAGGCCGGGCTCTGACCGAGTACGGCCATGATTTGCAGATATCTATTGCAGACACCTCTTTTCCTTCACACGAATATCTCATAATAGTAAATTCTAAACTTTTTCTATGAATTTAAACGTGAATATTATTTGTAATTACCCCCCCCCCCCCCACCTCCAGTATTTTTTTTAATGTATGAACATAAATCTTTTTGAAACAGTATTTATATATTATATGAAATAAGATCATGTAAATGCGAATTTAAATAATATAATATAACAAAAATACGAATGTTAACAATATTTAAATTTCTTTTTTTTTAAATATTTTAATTAACAACAAACATTGGATATTTTATAAATCAAAATATTAATTGATAATTTCTCCATCGCGAGATATGTTAACAACAATGCATCATTTAACATAAAATTGTAAACATAATGTGATAATTAAATTTTAATGAAATGAAGTCAATAATATTTGATAGTCAGCTAACATAAAACATCGTGAACTACTTCACCTCCCTTAAGGTCATGTCCAATTTTCGAATAATGTTATTGATTCTTTAGGAATTGCGGGTATAGAAGACGTAATAGATTTGGAAGAGCAAAAATTGTTTTGCTAAAGAAATAAATTATTGCCACATGTAAATATAATTTAAACTATATAAACAGGAAAGGCTTTTATTAAAATTATACATATTTCATGTGCTAAATATTTCCTATTTTTCACATTGAAATAAAATGACAAAATAGTGTATATATATACACACTTGAAATATAAGTTAGTAATTTTGGCTTAATAGTAAGCAAAATATACGATTTTTAAAAAAAATAAAAGTATCGAAGTTTAAATTAAAACCTGCAAAAGATCTACGCACGCGTACGGGTTGATGGTTGTAAGATTATCAATCTTATCATCTATATAATTGATTTGATTTAAGTAAATTAACATGTAACACAAAAATGTATTAATTTCCAATCAAACTCACAACTTCTTCCTTCCGGCTAGGTTACAATTAATAATATCAATTCAATTAATTCAGGTTTATGTCTAATCTAAACATACCTTGTGACTGAAAATTAACTAAAAATTAATTACATTAAAGATAAGTGACACAATAAGAGAAAACATACGAACGTAATTTATTATATATTGAAATTCTCGAATAAGTTCAATAGCAACCCTAAATATCTAATCAAAAGTAAAACACTTACCGACGGCGTGTAATCCCATTAAGGGGATTTTCTTAGTCATCGTTTCTTCTCTTTTCCCGCGCGAATCGGTTCCGCTATCAACCTTTGAGGTTGCGGAAGTGGAAACGGTTGAGTTGGAAGAGGAGCGCGTGGTAGCCGACGGTGAAGATCCGGATGAGTCTGCGCATATTCTAGGGTAAGCTTGTTGATGTCTTCCAGATCCCGCCCCATTTTTGACGTCAAGGTAAGGGGATGGAACAAAAGTATGGTTGTCGAAACAACAGAGGTCGGCTACCAGTCCCCTAGGGTTAGAAAGAGTCAATGAAGCAGGAGAAGCAGAACTTGCTTGGGGATACAATATGCGTCTCAGGGTTGGGTGATTTTGGACGAGAAGTGCTTCGTTAGCCAAGGGTTTATCTTGAAGTTGATTTGTATTATGCCCTCTATTATCGACGTGCTTATCGATGAGTGGAGGGGGAGGCAGATTGGAAACATTATTGCTGGTTGAATGAGAGGAGGGAGTGAATGTGGGGATAGAGGGGATGGCTTTGAACTTGTAGAGAACTTTTTTAGGGGCAAATTTTTGTTTAACGTAACAACGACGAACCTTTTTTTAAAAAAAATATATAATTTTGATTGAATTCATTAATTTTTTTATACAAATTAAACAATTTCCATCTTGACAATTGTATAGTTGAGATAGATTTGGTCTAAATGACTCATGCTTATATACATATAACTTATATGCCTTAAAGGTTTATGCTGTGTTATAGTTTAAAAATTAGCGACGGGGACACACTACTCCAAAAAATAGTAGGGGGCACGCTAAAATGGGCAAAGAGAGGGGCGAATTTTTGTTTTTCCCAAAAATTTGAGGCAAATTTTTTAAAATAGTTTATGCTTCATATCGAAGAATATCATATGAAATAAACTAAATCCCTATTATATAAAATATTAAATTAGAAAGTTATATAAAAATTGAAATATATTATAAAAATATATATTGCATAAAAAAATTTCATAATATTATAAAATAATCATATTATTGTAATATAATGTATAAATAGGAATAGATCGAAAAAAGTGAAGAAAAAACTACAATATTCTATAACGAATCTTTTTTTAAACATTTTTAACTTAATCGTACGTTTCCTTGATTGGTTATCGTTTGCAGATCTATGACTTCTCAGTCAATTTTTAATATTCGGAGAAGAATTCCAATGAATGAGAGGAGGTCTATTATCATTATTCTGGTTATATGTTTTATCATAAAACATGCAGGTAAATCAGTCATAATGGCATTCATAAGGGGCTGCGCTCATATTCAGCAGTACTACATGTGTGTTAATACAATTTTGAACTCTTTCAAATCACGGGGGCATTTAATACTTTTATTATTATTAACAATATACTCCCTCATCACATATATTGCTAGATCCAGATTTTGCTTCATTCTGAAACAAAGTTAGTAGTTAGTTTAATTTGTTCTTCCCCATAACGAATGTGAAGGTCTGTTGGCTCCTTATCTTTTTATAAATATTCCACAATAAAACAAAATAGCTAAAAAGATAAAGCTGTATAATTTAATATAATATTTTAATTACTAAAATTATTAAAATTAGCATCCATTAACTCATTTTGCATATTCTCCAAGACAATACAAATGAATTAATATTCGTTGATGTCAGAGTTCCCTTTTTCCTTCATTACTACTAATCTAAATTTCTTTATTTCCCAAGATTCATGAGCTATTTAATATGTTCTCATTAGAAATATTAAATAAACATTCACTTAGAAATTATAAAAAAAATTTCAAATCTACCAGCAATATCCTTAAACTTTAGAACACGAATCATTCGCTTTATTTTTGCCGCGTTAGGCAAACTGATTGTTCTTGTCTGAAGCCTTAAAGACAGACTGGATAATTCTAGAACATCAAGGCGATATGAGATAAGAATTCATCACTTTCTAATCGAAAGTCTGTTAAATCTCAGACTTTTGTTAGAATTTGCTTAATTTTTGAAATGAGTATACAGGGCCTCTTAACAGTACGAAGACCACTTGACATCCATTGTACATAAAGTACCCTTCCAATCTTCAGCAACTGAAGGCCTAATTCAAATACTATTTGATCCAATGCTTTTTAATTTTTGTTGGATTAGCTATTTAAACTATACATTGTGTCAATAAAGGCTATAAAATGATTAACGCCTGTAACACTTTTTATTGAATTCATTACCTGTTAATTGTAAAAGGTGGTCTAAAATATGGCAGAGTATGATCGTTGGATATTGTGCGCAAAGGCGCGTTTATACACAATATTCCTTCCCAGCCATGAAATTGGCGCCATTTTTTCAAAAATGTTTCAAGAAAACCCAGCGGATTTAAGAAGATTCGGTAGCGTATAAACAATCCTCTCCACATCTTTTGATTTTAGTTCAATCAGGTCTTTAAATATAAAAATAGGTTCATCAAAAGAGGAACCCAATACCTATTTTAGATATATAACCAAGGCGGTCAGGCGCGTACGCAGGAATTTGGTCTGGGGGGGGATAATAAATTTTTTTAAGAAATATTATTGTTTTTTAAAAATATCAAGCATAAATTTATTAGGACTAATAACTATTTCTTATACAAAATTTTAAATTAATGTGAATTATAAAAAAATTCTATGTACAAACCGGCATATAAAAAAACTATAAATAAATATGAATTAAACAATATTAAACGGATATAATTGGCGGTATAGAAAAACTATAAAATAAATGTGAATTATAAAATATAAAGTGAATATAACCACTATATGAATCACTTATATGACCCAAAATAAAAATTTGAATTTTTTGAGCCTTTAAAATTTATATGTAAAGTATAAAAAATTTAAATGTTGGAAATATAAATTAATACACAAAAATTTTAGGAATAATTGTTATTGTATGTTATATATTTACAATGTAAAATCCAATCTTCGTTGGGATTGAGTTAATTTTTCAATTATCTCATCCTTGCTTGTCGTGAAATGCCTATGAATATTCAAAAGATCCAAACCTTTCAATATACTTTCAGAAGTTGTATTTCTTGGTATGTTTTTCAGAGACCTGCAGGCCCGGCCCCAGACTTAATTTTTAAAAAAAAATATCCAGGCTTGGCTCTATATTTTAAAACAGTCAATATTTGAAATCGTTATTTTTAGCTATAAAAATCAAAAATTAATATAATTTATTTTAAAAAAATCCGGGTCGGGCCTGAAAATTTTTTTTAAAAAAAATCTGGGCCGAGCCGTAAAAATTTTTTTTAAAAAAATCCGGGACTTGTCCTGCAAATGGTACCTCTGCAGGGCTCTGTTATTCTTCTTAAAAAAAAGAATGCTCTCTCATTAGTTTACTAATGGGAAGTTGTTTATATATATATATATATAACTATTTTATTACATTGGGAATATAATCTAAAATGTGTTTGAAATAATGCAAAGCATCCATAGCATTTTTTGGGACTATATCAACCATATTTAATCTTTTAAAAATAGTTATTCGGCTAATAAGGCATCATAAGATCTTTAAGATCTTCATGATAAAAATCTAACAAATATTTTTTTTTCTATCACAATCTGATAAAGGTTGAGAAGGCTTTTGTGGAAGTAATATCTGTAGATTGGTAAGTTCTGCCTGATGAATTAAAAACAGTTCATTTATTTGGGTTATAAATAAATGTATCTAAGAGAGAGGACATTTGTTTTATAATACTTTCCTACTGATCTTATATACTCTTATACTAATGTTTTGACGACGAGTTTGTCTTGCTGCAAGTTGAGGGAGACAAATATTAAACACGTATAGCTCTGCTTTTGACTTAACAATAACATAAAATTCTTCATCAACATTAACCCTAATTTCCTTGAGTTCTAATAAAATGCTCTCCGCTATTCTTATCTTCTTAATCAAGTTAATGTCATGTTTTTGAAAAGTATTACATAAAATAGTTGTATATTTAAATAATACATTCTAATGAGATAAAAAAAATTTGGAATAAGCATTGAATCCAATAATTTTAGTGCTTCTGAGGAAATATTTTTTTCAGGCAATTGTGATATTTCAGTAATAGCAAATAATAGGCTCTTCTAACTATATAATAGCTGTTACTGCTTGATGGCGGAGACTCTATCTCGTTGGACAAGCTTGCAATTTCTTTCTTCCTATTGGACTAGGAGTTTCAGAAATAATTATTATTTGACTTGAAATTTGAAAATGGTAGATAAATATTAGCCGCTAAAAATTTGAAAATAATAGGTAAATATTACGCCAAGGAAAACTTGAAATCGAAATTAATTGATAAAATAACTTAGTAGATGAATGTGATAATGTAATTAAATATATATTTAATATGAGATAGGAATAAATATTAACAAATATAAATTAATATAAACAGTAATATTTTTGAAAAATATATCCAGCATCTGCATTTTTTGGCTTTGGGGCGGTCATAATGTTGTTGATTTATCTACCGGAAAGAATGCAAAATATGTCCCATATCTAAACCATTGGGCTCTTGTAGATCTATTAACGATTCATAATCTACAAAATGGCGATTTGTGCTTCAAGATAATATGCAGTATTAAATATTATCTTGATTTTTCTATCAGTTTGATTAACCATTTTATATAATCACTGGCAGTATTTTTTTATTTGCTTACATAGCCTTTTTTCAGGAGCTTTCTATGCATCTGAATTCTTTCCAATGTTTTTTAATTTATGCGTTCTGTGTTGTAAGTGGTTGCTACCATTTGCATATTGCACCATTCACTTGAAATATGCATTCTTATGTTATGAGGAAGCAGGGTTACAGCTAATAAACGGCTAGTCAAAACGTATAAAATGACATTCTCATATTTTTATTGAATATTTTTTTAGAACCAAGTAAAATAGGGAAGGGTTAGTTTTTGGATTATAAATGCACAATTACATTAATATACTACCATTTTCTTTTATAAAATGTTTTAATTTCATGATTAAAAATATTAAATCTAATTTACATTCTACCAATAAAAGAGTTATTAAAATTTTTTTTATACCCGGCAGGGTTTTAAAAAAAAATTAGGATCCTCAACACCTCTAATTTTAGCCTAACATAGATTAAATTTTCAACATTTTGTTTATTTATTTCTTTCTTTTAAATTTTTCACTTTTTACCTGAATAAACGAGAGATTTATGACGAAAAATAATAATGCGCAGGTCAAAATTATGATCAATATTTTGTGGTTTTTCCCATCGTTATTCAGATTCCCCGAAATGTTAGATTCAAATGTTGGGTTGGCTTCGGATGTGGATGGTATTATGCCATCTTGAATTATGTTTTAAATAAAATATCGCCAAAATAAAATCGATGAAAATTTTAATTTTTTTAAAATATAAATATGCCATTTTATTCCTCAGAAATTTTACCCGGAGGCCAAGAAGTACCATATCTTAGAAAAAAGTGAAAACTGGACTTGAGGAAGATTTTAAAAATTATCCGTTCCCGAGCTTTTATAATGTGCTCTAGGATTCTCATAAAACATTCACCCTTCTCGGAACTTTTAAAATATGAAAATCTAAAAATAAAGGGAAGGGGACATTTTTAATTTTAAAGGAACTAAAAAGAAACAGAAAGGCTTTACCATACTATTTTGCAAGTAATTATAATAAACAACAAAGTAGGCTCTAAAGATAGAAATACCTTTTTCTCAGATTCGGGCTAGTTTTTACTAAATTTAAAATTTCCCATTTGGACTCGTAGACACCTCGGACACCTAATTTTAAAAATTATTTTGTTGTCCTTTAGGCTTTCATAGATATTCGTTTCAAGAAAAATACCAAAAAATTTTTTTAAACTTTCTCCTTATAAACTTATAATTTTTCTATTTTTCTTGATAAATCCTACTTTCTACTTTATTTTTTTTAATATATCTTCCCTGCTCAGACCAGACCTGATATTTTTTTAGATCTTGATCGATATAAAGGTGTATTTTTTTAAAATATTTTACGTTTATTTTTATCGATTATGTGCAACTTTATTTGATTTTTTTTTAAAAGTCGGCTAAATTACAAGGGAAAACGAGGTATTATAATATCCATATTTTTTTAAAAAAAATAATAAACAGGTATTTTGAATTTTCGGAATATTTTAATATTGAAATTTTTTTTATATCGCATCGTATTTTTCGTTGTTGTTAAATAAACATTAACAAAACAAAAAATTGAATTGGGGTTTAAATTTAAAAACTAATTAAATTAAATATGCATTATAGGAAAAAAAAGAAGAAAATATTGGGCCCAGACATTGCATCAAAAAAACACTAAAATAAAAAGAAAGAAAAAATTACATAAATTATAAAAAAAAAATTTATTGATTTTTAAATAATATTATGCTCAAAAAAAATTTCCTTTTGAAAATTTAAGTATATAATATTATTGAATAATAATAAAGTTAGCCAGAGACAAGTTCCTTAAAAGTGAAAAATTATTGGATAGAAAATTATAGAGTCCTTCGTTTTGATTTCATTCTTTCTCATAGTGTTTCAATGTTTAATCATAAAGAAGTTCAAACACACATCCATGATTTTTAGAGTCCTTGCGACTAGTCAGATAATAAAAGATGGTTCCCTAGCTAAGTCTTGTCGTAAAATATAAATATTACCTGTAAATGGACAACCCCTTATCTCGACCCTCATGCATACGGTCCGAGGGTTCAAATTATATGGGATGAACCGTATTTTATTAGCCGTGATTGGTGGCGATAATCTGGTTTTGCGAATAGTTTGAGTGTCATTGTTTCCATTCAAAATCTATTAATAAATTTTTTTTTAAATTTACATTTAGTATTTCAAAAGTTTGAGGAGTATTAGGTTTAAAGTTTTAAATAATAATATAAGATGCTGCAAATTTATAACAACAAAAAAAGCGTTACAGTTACTCCTTATCTTTTTAAAGGCGTTACCTCCAAAGGCACGCCGTTACTAATGACGTTACTTCCATCGACGTTCTTTTACAACATTGCCTAATATCCAAATCAGCTAATAACAAAAAACACACTTTAACTTTCTCTGGATCGCACGCAACGAAGAAATTATATTTTTTAATAAAATATTAGGAAAGAAAATATGTATAAAAATAGTGACTACCTACTTAAACCCAAATGAAAGTGGCCGATACCCAAAAATTTTAATTAATCTATAAATTTTATTTTTACTCCTACATAAAAAAAATTAAGTATACAGATATTAACCCTATAAGAAAAAAGAAGGGATGGTTAATAATATTTTTCTTCCTATTTCAGGTCCCATTCTAGGCCTATTTTGAAAAAAAAATTCAAACTGCCACCTCCCCCCCCCCCCATCTTTCAAAAAAAATCAATTTATTCCTGTCTGCTGAAACACCTAATAGCGCAAACGATTGTAATGAGGAAAGATAGTAGTTAATTTGGTGAAAAAATGAAAATGATCAAAATGCCAAAATTAAGAATAAGAAAAATGAGCCTAAGCTTGCAAAAACAAAATGGATTCGATTTTTAAGTTATTCTTATTGCAAATATTTTATAACTGATTTAAGTCAGGTATCAACAAATAGGCCAAAATTTAGTGGTGCTAAAAGCCCGATGTGGGGCCATTTAAAAAACGACCCTGTCAAAACTATAACCAAAATAATATTATGTAAGTCTGAAGATTTTGCTCATAGATGGCAGAAAGGTTTAGACATATTTGCCAAGTGGAGGCCTACATAATATTATTTTGGCTAAAATCTTAATTGGGTTGTTTTTAAAAATCGACCCACATAGGGCTTTTTAACAATTATACCAACATCACTTAAAAAGACTGTAATAATGGAAGAAGATTTTCGTTAAAGTTTATAAATAATTGAAGCTTGCATTGCCTTCCTTGTAAGATCTATATCTCAAAAAATGGTGAACCAATTCTATACCAAAACAAATTTTACCAACTGGAAGAAAGTTCTTATATATAGGGTCTTGAGAAACATTATAATTGTAAAAAAATACATAAATTCCGAAATATACAATTTTACCAAAAATTGAAAAAAAAGATGACCTTATGGAATTGCGGATTATGGTTAAAATTTTGTTGCCAACTTACCAATAACAGGATATTTCACTTTCTATACTAAAAAAATTTCAAATTTATATTAAATATACTAATTAAACTGAGGAGCAGTGTGGGCAAATTCCCATTAGACACTCAATAATGTAACATATTTCTAATAATAAATGTCTTTTGTATAATTTTTTTATTATTCAATTTTATTAATAATATAGAAATATAGATAGATAATCATATTCATTCCATATTATAAAAAATATTTGAAACAAAATTAGTTAATCCAATTTTAATATTTGAATGAATATCTTTAAATTTCAGATATAGCCCTCATAAATTAATTTCTTTTGTCGATCTTTTCATCATTTTTTATTATTAAAACAAAATCCCTTCCCCAGGCATCGATCTACTATATTCATCATTGCTATAAAAGGTCTTGACAACAGCAAAGGTGGCGGCATCTATTGTCTTGCCGGGTTTAAGATTCGGTGTTGAAAAAACCCCCTTTTCTAAACCTTTTGATTTTAACGCCATATGATATGAAATATTAAATTCTTTTACAATTTTTCTTACTGTCCAATTTGATGGTAATGATCTATATTTATTTGTACGATAACTGTGGGAAATTGATTTTTAAAGTATCTACATCTAATTTTTCATCATTTGATGAAGATAATGGTATAATTTTAGTCGTTAAAACTTTTTTTTACTCTAGATATATTTTTAGTCGAATATTATTCTTTTCACATAAGTGTTTTTTTTAATGGGAGATTCCCCTATTGATTGTAGGGATATATTAATGTCATCAATAGCCTCTTAATTAATTATATGTGGGGGACAATCAATATCTACATCGTCATTTGAAGTATAAGGAATGTTTGCTAATTTTTGTCGGCATGAAGAGCATATTAACATATCTAAATTTGGGTCATCCAGGGAAGAATCTTTATTCCATTCTTGCGGTAATAAGCATCTTTTTGTAGATTAAATGGGTTGCAACATTTTGAAATTTTAACATTTGGTATGTCCATCTGTGATATAGAATAAAATTTTAAATGATCTGTACCTAGAATATGTTTTTGCCCTCTCCAAATCTCGAATGTCATTGGTAGACAGACTATAAAAATAAGCTAGACGGGTTGAATTATTTAAAATTAATCTGAACGGCAGTCAAAAATATTATGCAGAAAGGGAGATAGTTTTAAATAGTTTATTTTATAAAATAATACGCTAGTAAAATATAATTGATATGCCAAATAAAATATTTTTTTTACTGCAGCTGTTATATATTACTGAAAGTCATTCGCTATAGTAGCAAAGTAGAGATCTAAAAAATGTAAAACTTTATAGGGATTATAGAGGGGGGGGGGGGGCAAACTGGAAAATTTTATCACATTTCTAATAAAAATAATCAATATTTTCTTTTCCTTATTATGATATATTTCAACCATTAGCGCCATCTATTTTTTGTCAACATTTGCTAAAAATGTATATTTCGGAAGAGTCGATAGCGTCGCCAAGGTTTTGACATCGTATATATATTTATAAAAGGTGTTTAAATAAAAAGAAAAAAATTTTCCAAAATAAACTCCCTTTTTTTGCTTAAAAATTCAGGTCCATATCTCGGGAACCAGGTGTGCTAGCGAGCTAAAATAAACGACTTTCTTTTTTTGCCTATCGAAATAATTCCAGAGATTTTTAACAATTTTAAAAGGGGTCGGCCGAAAATGTGCCTTTTTTGATCGATTTGACAATGGCCATATGGTATTTTTCAAATAAAATCGTATATTTCAATTTTTTGTTCAAATAACTTAAATATTGGTTCTATAGTATTGAAAAAAAATTTGTCTGCCCCCCCCCCAATTGGTGAAGTTAGAATCGGGTCTGTCCTATTTCCTTTTTTCTTCACTCTTTAATTTTGTTTATAAATTAATTTAAAAAACTTATAATTTAGATGAATTATTATATTTAAGCTTTTATTCAATAAATCATTGTTTGAAAAAAAAAGATTTTTTAAATAAATATTCTTTTTTGCCTATAATTTTTAGCAAAAAATCTATGTAGATCATAAAATAAAAGATTATTTTAAAGAACATCAAAAAAAAATTACAACCATGAAAGATGTTTAAAAAAATAGCAAAAGGTTTTTTACAAAAATGATTTGTAATTTAGGTGCTAATCCAAAAATCCTGTTTCAGTATTCTAAAAATCACCTTATTTTTAAAAAATCTTCATTTTAAAAATTTATTTTGAAGAGGATTTTTAACTATGATAAATATACTATATTTATATTGAAGTGGTATTGGCTAAAAAAAAAAGTTGCTGTTTACCGTGTTTCCTGCGCTATCCTTGTACATTATCCAGCTCTCTTCACCCTTTCTACTCCCATCGGGATACGTTATAGCGTAAACTAATTTAAATTGCTCGACAAACTCTTGGCCATTGCCATTTCCAAATCGGCCTTGCGTCTCCACGGCCGTTATGGTATGAGGGTGCGGAAGATTTATCTGTAAAAATTGTTGGGATGAGAAGGAATCGGGCGAATTTAAGGGACCATCGGCTGGGCACCAGGCTCCACCATCACGGTCTAGGTTAAGTCTTGAGATAAATGTGGAAGAGAAAAATTTAAGAAAAAGAGAAAGAGTTTCATAAAGTTTACAAAATGGAGGTTAGAGGGATTCCCCTCCTCCTTTGAATTTATAATTTAAAGAAAAAGGAAATATATTTTTTCGATCATTCACAACAAATTTTTTTATTACTGCCAACCAGTGTAAACCACTTTCGAAAGGGCACTACACTTAATTGAATTTTAATGGGCTTTATCAGATATTTTTAAGTTCCCCTATTCATTTCATTTTATTGGCTTACAAAAAATTAATAAAAATAAAACTATATGTGTATATGTATAGATATTTATTATTATACTATATAATTCTGGTAAAGGGAGGAATTAATAATATTATTAGAATATTTATTATATATATAATATAATCCCTTTATATTCATTTCAATTACAAACAATACAAAAAATAATTAAAATGTATAATAATATAATATAAATGATATGTTGTACGTTATATAATTTATAACTATCACAATTATACTCGTATCGTATACTTATATTCATAAATAAAATGGAAAATACCATAAGAGAATAGATAGAAAGATATAGATAAATGGGGGAAAAAAATTAATTAAAATGATATGGAAAAATATTATATTAATTTATTTTTATAAAAGAATGTAAAATATGGTTTGAGGAATAACGGTATACATCATTTTTTTATTAAAAGCATATTTTTCAATCGAACCAAAAAAACCCATTATAAAATATAAATATAATTAAACATTTAAAATAATAATATTATTAAATCGTACCTCCCGTTATGAGGCCCCACACTTTCGGCATCGTGGGAAGAACTCGCCGAAAGCCATTCGTTCGGGATGCCTTCCGATTCCATACCTAGCGCTGTATCACAATGTTCTTTATTATTTAAGGGGAAATAGAAATAAATTTTATAACAATATTTTCATTATCAACTATTTTTCCAAGAAAACTACCATTTTGCCGTTATTGGTTTTACTTGTCAATAATTCCCTTTGGTCGATTTTTTTATATCAACTTCAAAATTGGCTACGCTGAGTTTTAACCGAAAACTATCATCTTAAGTTCAAGATTTTCGTTTTAAGAAAATGATCTCAACCTTAAGAAAATCTGGGAGGGGTGAATATAACGCGCCGACGTTTAGAATTTTTTTCTGAAGCATTTTAAGATTTAGTTGTTTCTTTTTTAAATAATTAAAATGCCCATCAATTCATAAATACAATTTGTATTTATATCTTATATGTAGAATATTATATAATCTTTTATTAAAACTTAATAAATTTTCACCCTATGAATATAATATTATATTAAGCTATATAAAAAAAGAATAAAAAATTATCGAACCAAAATAATTTTAAGAAAAGCATTTGGGGAACAATAGTTAACCTTAAAAATGTTTATTGCATAAGGAATAGGAATTCCCTAGGTTAAAATGTTTGAAATTTTAATTTCGTGAGTTAAATTTTTTAAAAAAAACTAAAAGTGATAAGAGCGAATTGTCTGTTAGCAGGAGTTGCAATTGGCGAGAATATTAAAATGCTGAGGCTTTTGTATTTCTTTATTTTTTTAGCCTCTGTTTGAATAAGCAGGCTGGTATTTATATTGGCGGGGAAGGACCAGACACATGTATAATCTTAAATAAGGGATTTACCCATGGTTAAGGGGATATTGGTCAGGCCGTCATCTGTTCAAATTTAACTATTGTTCCTTTTTACTTTAGGAACCCAATTCGAAATATTTTTTTTTGGATATCTTCATATATTATATTCATATTGTGAAAATTTATTTAAAGTTTTAAATAAAAGATTTATCAACGAAGTTTGATTTCGCTCATAGACATCTTGGGTTTCATTAGTCCTGTCTTACCCTGCGAAAATTTTTATAAAAATTTTTTTATCTCTTATATTATAAAATTCATTTTTTACCTCCATTATTGACTAGGACCATATGAGTGGAAAAGCTACAATACGGTTTCAACTAATTTTTTAATTCACTGCCATTCCACCGTGCATTAAATAAGATAAAAGTAACATTAAGCATATGATAAAAACATTTTATTTCAACTAATTTTTTAATTCACTGCCATTCCACCGTGCATTAAATAAGATAAAAGTAACATTAAGCATATGATAAAAACATTTTAATGACATTTCTAAATTAAATTTAATTTTGGTGTTCAAATAATATTTTTTAAATCAAGATTCCAAGACTATATATATTTTGTTTATCATTATTATTTTTTTCTTATCTATCATTCATTTTTTGAAAAAAATCTCGTCTCTCCATAAGATTTAATTGGTTTGTAAAATATATTATACCTTTGAATCAATCGCGTTATCGCGATAAATTTTTTTTCTGGTTCAAGTTTATTCACAAGGAATGTACTCTCTTTGTAAAGACAAATTTTATAATCTTATATTATGGTTGATTAAATCATTTTAAATCGAAATCTAATAAGGAGATTAAATAACCAATTTATATATTAGTATAGAGAACAGCACAACCTAATCCGAACTGACTTGCTGTTTTATACTACTATCTACCTATTAAGTTGGCAAGAATCTTGTGAATAAAAATATTGCAAATAGGTCTTATGTTGGTAATAATATTTAATCAAAACAAGAAGGGGTGGGAATGGCGTTAAAAATTCTTTTAAAGTACATTGATAATGAGAGAATTTTGTGAGAAACAAATTTTTGAACTTTTAAACGCAAGTTTTAAAGTAATTTTTGATTCAATAGACGGTTTGGATTCAGAGTATATTTTTTAACTATAATCTAAAAATAAATCAAATATATTAATAGTTTTTTTATTTCGCAAATTCTGCACATTAAAATGTTTAGATTTTATTTAGGGTTATAATGTTTTTTAAAATTCAAACTGGTGGCATCTTGGGTCTAGTGTTGTTAAACGGCTCGATTTGAGCCGATTTCTAAAAACGGCTAACTAAATATTTAAGCCAGAAAAGCATTATCTAAGCCTCAAGATTTCGCTAATAGATGTCCAAACCTATGTTCCTTCTACAAACAAAATCTTCAGGCTTGCGTAATAGAATTCTAAATGAAATATTGAGTTAGCCGTTTTTAAAATTCGGCTCAAAACGAGCCGTTTAACAACACTACTTGGGTCTCGTAAAAAAATATATTAATTCCAAATGTTAAATTTAATTTCTTTTTAATGAAAATCATTACGATTATTAATTTGGTAATCTTTTTATAACCCGTTTAAGGCTAAAAAAAATAATTATTCTTTCATTTTATGAGAAAATGGGATAAAATGAGATAACACTTTAATCCCTGTTATTTTAAATTTTATATTTTAAAAAAAAGTTATTCTTTCTTTTTAATGTTAATTTTTATAAAAAATAATAATAATTGCCCCTACAAAAATGGAATTATATTTTTTGAATCGGGGATGATTAGAGTTAAATACCTACCTTAATTTTACTTATATTTTATTACCAATATAATATAATGGTACCATCTTGCCATTTAATGATACCTTGTTGAGTGGTGATGATAGTTATATGGATTTTGAATAAAATAACGATAAAAAGAAAAACCGTAAGTAATTATTATGTATAATAATAAATATAATATAATACAATGCAATATAAATTTGTAATAATAATATTAGTTATAAAAATAATTACCTGTGGTATGATGATCCATTCATAATGGTCAATTAAAATAAGAGGCCAGGGCAGGGGAAAAATTATATATTCCTAATGGATTTTAATTATTAATTTTAGTTATAATATGAATAAAAGCTTTCATTTTAAAAAAAAATTTTGAAAGAATCTTATAGTTTCAAAATTAATTAAGCACTCAAGCAGCTGTATTAAATTTTATTAAGTTTTAAAGCTATAACTATGGAGAGGGACATTTGGAAGCTAGACGACCCTAAAAAAATTAACTGCCCCCCCCCCCAAAGTAAAAAAATTAATATTGCATAAATTATGTTTTATAATTTAATTAATTAATTTTTCAGGTATTTAATTCTAAATTATTTTTATTTTATTTATAGTGTTTTATCTAGGATGATAAGGGCACTTTTTATGGTGGGGGGGGGGGGGTTGGAGGTCTATTTCTCTTTGAATATAATTACGAATATCTAGATTTTTCTTTATTCTGAATAGTAAGAATAAGAGATCCGCAAACGGGTTAGTTTTAACCCGCGGATTAGAAAAAAATTTTTAAATTTGGGCGGGCGGGTTAAAAATATTTTTATAACAATGGGAGAGTTAGCGAATAAATTTAAAAATCAAATAATTTTTAAACCATAAGTGAGAGCCGGTGGCCTAAATAAAATTTTTAAATAAATGAGCGGCGATTTAAAAAAAATATTTAATAATCGTATTGAAGACCTCTATTCAGAATTTTTTTTGAAAAAGCTAAGCTGCAGCAAATTCAGGTCTTGATAATATTTTTTTTAAATATATATGGAGGAAAAAGGGAATAGAATGAATTTTTCTTAAAAAAATAATAACTTTAATTTATAAATTATAAATGACACTAGTCGTATATTTATTTAAGATATAATAAGCATTTTAAAATAATTATAAGGATTATTTTTTTAAATAAAAATTATCAAAGTTAATATAATATTTATTTTACAGAAGCCAAAAGCCGAAGCCGACTTATAACATAAGGGGAGGTATAAAAAGAATATTTAAGTGTAAAATTGATTCTTTTTCCTTAAAAAGAACATTTTATTTTCACTCTTCGATTGATCAAGAAATGATCTTTATTTTTTGTATATATATCCAATATATCTTCTAAAAATAACATACCGCAACGTAGTACTTTAGAAAAGTCATCATTATTCTTCATTGCCCTGGGTTTTTAGCAATTATTTTAATATTTTAATCGTTTATTAAAGCGAATTTCTGTAAAATCTTTCATGTACCTGGTTTTGCCGTAATTTTTCCAGAGGGAATAGAGGCCCTATGAATTTGGACAAATCATCGTGAACTTTTAAATTACTTTCAATTTGTATCAATGTTTGATATTATCGATTTTTGATAAAAATTAAAAAAATATATACAATTAAAATTCATTGCATTGAAGAATTGTCTAATTGGCCTGTAGGTACTCTATACATACCAAAACATGATTCCGGTCAAAACCGGGGCATATTAACCAAATAAAAAGCGCTCGCTATAACTGATTAAAGTAATGCAAATTTCCTATTGCCCTGAAAAGCCCTTTATGACCAATCGCGATCCGATCGGGGTAAAAAAAAATCAAACGATTTTTAGCAAATTTAATATTTTACCTTACGAAATACTGTTTGTTTAAGATATCAGCAATTAAATGAGATTCAAATAATAAAGTGTTTATTTATCTTATAGAGACTCGGTAGTAACAAAGTTTAATTTTTTTTTAATAAATCTAAAACGCCCTACAAAGGTAAATATAGGTATAATTGCGCACAAAATGTATTTTTTTATACTCTTTATTAATTATAAATAAAATATACCTTTTTTTTAGTAGTTAATTTGATTTTTTTTTCTCTTTTACACGCATAACATATTCACGCGAAAGTAGTTCAATGAAAATATATTTTTTAAAATATTTTCTCAAACTATTTAATAGCGCAGTTGAAATATAGTAGTAACCAAGAGGGTTTTATGGGAAACATCTATATCGATTTGACCCGTCAAATCGGATAAGAATTTTTCAATTAAATCTTCCGAACGCGGGGCTTCTGGTTTACCAAACTAGTTCGGCTAATTGGTAAAGCATATTAGTTAGTGTTTTTTAATTGGCTAAAAATCTTTCCTCCTCATTCATAAGCAGCGCATTCGCAGCGAAGAATATAAAATATCTTGTATACTTAGCCGCAAATTCGATCTCTGAATTCAATATAGGCCTATT